TATATATATATATATATATATATATGTATATAATGTAAAATCGATATATAAAACCATTAATTGTATCTATATAAAAAAATCACGACATACGTAAAAATGATTTTAATCATTTTGCTTGCATTTAGTTTAATAATGACATCAAAACATGCCATCAAAACATAAAGTAGCCATACGACCGCATTTCGCATTATAACTTAATGATTCAAAATGATTAGTCACGGAAGAATTACTTATATATATAAACGTATATAAAATCCGATATAGGATATTTCCTACATTTTAATAAAGCTAAAAGGTGTATTCTTCCACGGTAGTTTTATTTTATTGTTATTATTCATTTTCACATTAAGTTTAGAATGGGAACGCTTATATAAATACATCAACTAAGAGAATTAAACGTCAATTGACCAAATGATCAAAGTTAGATACTGGAATAATATTTCTATATTTTAAATACAACTCTTTGCTTATTTCACTTTTGCTAAGTTTAAAATATGATAGTATAATTACTTTTTTACGTATTACTTACATTCAATAAAAAATAAAAAATATACTAAAAAAAATATACTAAAAAAAAATATACTAAAAACGGAAAATAATAATCTGGGAATGTAAGGTAAGATCTTGGCTCACGCACTTTAAACGCTTGTAATCATTCTGTCTTTATTGTTCATTAGACGTAAAATAAAAATAGAAATACTGAAAAGCGCTGAAAGCATCCAAATCGATCGCCTTTATCTAACGTAACATAATGGCACACTTTTTTCTCTTAATCACAGAAATCAATCCGATCATGATAATAAGTTACTTCGATTTTTTTTTAAATTGATCGAAAATAATATGTTAACGGACTTGTAAAAAATATATAAAAATTTCAAATCGCGTTATTCACTAAGCAACAATCTTGTAAATCTTTATAATGCTTTATAACAAAAAAAATGCGTCCGTATAAGATGACCATTACTTCTAGTTTCTATTAAATAGAATTCTACAATCTACGACAATGAACGGTGTGATTTGGAGCAAAACGCAAAAGACTTTTGTGCCAATTTCCAGCGTGCCGACTTATGCGATGATGCAACAAGAACGCTTTAGACAAAGTCGAGCACTTGAGATCCACAATTTTCAACTACAAAACTTTACTTTAACATCTTTTCAGGTATATACTTTTATAAAAAATATCCGATATTATTATCTTTTCTAAATATAAATATTAAGAAACAAGAGTTTTAAAAATCCATAATAAAGATTAGATAGTTGATATAATTAATTAATAACAAAATTATAGTACTTTTAGTTTTAACTAGGATTTATTTTTTAAGAATTACAAATATGATGGTATAAATTAATAATAGTATAAAGAATATTTATTTTCACATTCGAATATATATGATACTTTTATGTTAGCAATGAACTTACTAAATAACGGCATATCAAGAATTATAAATTAATGAATTGTATAATTTCGTTGATTGTACGTACATTTCAGGAGCCGCATTTTCTTCATTTTTACAATAACAATACCAAAGTTACGGGACTCTGTGGGGAAATATGGAATCTACTTTCGGAATCGTTAAACTTTACGTAAGACCGCGCATATATCTCACATCGCTAAAATAGATTATTGTGATGTAACATCTTACATTAAATAGATAGTTCATATTTTTAGATTACAGCCAGTGAAAGCAAATGTAAATGATTTAGGTATGTCAGAAAAAGACAGATCTTTTAAAAACGGATTATTAGGTATTATTTTTCGCAATGAAACTATGGCAATACCGAAGTTAGAAACATTTATATCGCGACTTGTGGCTACCGAATTTTCAGTACCTTTTTGGATAAATAGGTTAGTTTAATTTATTAAACTTTTTAAATGTTTATTTTATTTAACATTTATTAAATCTTAGTTTAATAATTTAATAAATAATTACATTACAAGATAAAGAATTGGTGTCATAATTAAAAAATATTTCATAGAATTCAATTATATATTCACCCCGAAGTGATATATGATGGTGAATGGATGTTAAAAATTTTCTGCTGGAAAATATGGTGCACTATACTGATTATGTGTGTACTACTGAGTCTATGCACCTTTTTAACACAAAATATTTTCATACAGAATGAAAATAAACGTAAAAACGTATCTTTCAGCGAACACATATTTTATAACTTTGGAAACTTCTGCAATCAAAGTATGTATTAACAAATAATTGATTCGAACATTATTCGTTACAGATTATATAATAATATAGTAAAAAATTTATAAATATATATTTAATTATATACTCAACAAAATTAAAATTTCATTTTATCACATTGAGAATAATGAAAAATCATTAATTTGAATAATTGCAATATTCTATAGGCTATATTCCCGAGTATCTCAATGGAAAGTCGAGAATATTAGAAGTATCGTTGGGATTATTTTGTTCTATGATATGCACATCATTTAGTGCTGTGTTATTTATGTTTTTATCGAAAAGTGGTTTTGTACCACCATTTGATAAATTTGAATCTATGATATATAATACTAAGTTTAGCGTTGTCACTTTGAAAGATTCGATAGGAGAGACCTTGTTTAAGGTACATATATTATCAATATATTTCATTGATATATATAATAGTTTGAGGCTTTTTGTGTATAAAACTTAAATGTTTGATACTTAAATGTTATAGGTACTTACGACAGATTCAATAGAACGAGCAAAAAAGTCAAATCGCTTAATTGTAGTATCGACACTTCAGGAAATGCATAAAAAGATATGCTCCTTGCCAGATAAATATGCCATGTTTCAAAACGAAGAAATGCATAAAGTAAATGGCGAGATTAAATGTCATTTGATTAACATTGGAGAAGAATTTATTAGAACATGGGTAACTTCCGGCATCGTAAAGAATTTTAAATACAAAAGAACCATCGATGTTGGGTAAAAAAACATCTGTATAAAATAAAATAATGTAGATGACTTTTTTTGAAAATTAATATCTTCCAAAACGATAGGGTATTATACAAACGCTCAATTTAATTTGAATATGTAAAAACTTCTACCAAAATTTTATTATTTAATTTTTTAGGGATTGGAATATCTTTATAATTAAAACAAAGACTTTTGAAGGGATTAAAATTTATAATATTTTTATTCTTATTAAAATTGGATTCAAATTTTTTAAATTCTAAATATGTTGATGATTTTAGAATAATTTGCAGAGAAAAGTAAAAAATTAAAAAGATTTATTCATTAAATAATATTTTAAAAAGTTGATTATTATTAATAAATTATTACAATTCTCAAAATTTCCAATATAATAACGTATATAGTAACGTATTCGATATTTATACTTTTATAAACAGTTGAGATACATATATTTACCCAATAGCAGAATTAATTTGTATAACAATAAATCTAATCTTAGTCTATGATATATAATTTTATTTATTAACAAATAATTTTCATAAATAGGATACTTAAATTAATAGAAGTTGGACTATTGAGCGCATTGAAAGATCGTTGGATGGAAAATAAATTTAAACAATATGAAGACGACCAGAAACCGAAACCAATTGAATTACATCAAATTTCTTTAATAATTGTGATGATGTGCTGTGGTGCGATTATAGCACTTGTTATTTTTATAATTGAAAAAATTGTATTTGCTTATAAAGTAAAGCAATTTTAATTATTACTTATACTTATACTACGCATATATTTTACAAATTTATTTGCAAGTAGTAATTTAATTAATATTAAATAATTGTTAAATTATTTTGTAATTGAAATAATATATTTTTTAAATAATTACACACAGAAAGTTTTGAAAAAGAATGCATTTTTGTGAGAATACTGATCCAAGTTTTGTTGGAATATAAGTAAAAATATGCACTTTGAATTATTACATAAATTTGTAATATATTTTGTGTGTGTGTGTGTGTCCTAATATAACATAAAAATTATTTAAAATCATTTACATATGTATTGTGAATTTATAAAGGTTATACTCTTACTGGTATAAATATTGTATATAGTTATATATATTTATATATAATTATGTATAAAATATTATATTTATAAAATATATAATTATATATGAAACATTTTTCCCGGGGCATGTTTTGGCATATTTTGCCAAATATTAAAGTTAGTCGATGATAATCCATTGGGCGAAGGACATGCATAACAAAATTTGTATTAAAAAAATATGAGTTATATGAAATCGAAGATCGAATTATTGAACAGAAATAGCTGTTCGCTTCGAGTCAGGGGTAATTATAATAAAACCTGGGTAATGTTCGTAGGATAGTCAGATCGTAGGAGGGTAATGTTCGCCAGAAGAATTACTGCTAAACGAAGCCCAACGTATTGCATAAATTAACATTACTCATTTATTATTTGAGAAACTATTAAATGCTAACTGTTATTATCTCAAAGATTACTTAACAGTATCCGGTAGCCTCTCTTGCCAGATTCAAATTTAAAGAAGTTGGAATGGGTGAATTTTAGGAATTATTAATTTATTGTTAATACTAGAGTAAAAAATGCAGAAAGGGGAATATATAAAATAATTGATCAAATCTATCAGATTTTTCGAATTACGAAGTGATAATTGCGATGTAAGGTAATATATAGTTTTACAATTAAGTATTAAAATATTAAGAGATATCAAAATATAAAGTGATTATATATGATAATCTTTTTACATTTATAATATTTAAACAAATTTACACAAAGTGTAAAAATCAATATGTACAAAAAATAATCGCAGTTTTATATATGTATATACGTATAAAAAATCATGATTTACGTAAAATTGATTTTAATCATTTCAATGCCAGCATTAGTTCAACGATATCAAAATATGCCATCAAAACATAATCATATACAATGCTATTTCGTATTATAGCAATAATGATTGAAATTGATTAAAGTCACGACTGAATTACATAAACGCTATATGTATAAAATCTAATACGAGATATTTCTTGCGATTTAATAATGCTAAAAGTAAAAATGCATTAAAGTTGCACACTTTCACGATTTTATTTTACTGTTATTATTTATTATATTTTTGTTCATGAATTTAAAATAGGAATTTATTTACAACTTTGAGCCGATTTTCAGTTTGATTCCCATCTCTTACCTCGTTATGCTGATCAGTATTTAGACTGTACGCTGGTTGGTGAGATGAGAGGCGGGAACCAAGTTGAAAATCGGCTGAAAGTTGCAAGTAAATTCCAGCACTGCACTGATTTAAAATATACTTAGCATAATTATTCGTTGGGTATTTGTCTGTACTTGATAAAATAAGAAATAAATATACAAGTAAAAAGCAATAATCTGAGAATATAAAATAAGATCCTATCTAAAGTAAATATGATAACATGTTTTATCACTTAATTATAGAAATCAATCCAATCATGATAAACTATTTCTGTTTTGCCTTCAGTATAAATCGTAAATAAAAATTTTAAATCACGCCATTCACTATAAAGTAATAATTCTGTTACTCTATGTAAGGCATTAAAACAGTACATTTATATAAATCGACTATTGCTCATGGCTACATTATAATTTTGTCATCGTTAGAGACAATGAACGGTGTGATTTGGAGTAAGACTCAAAAGACTTTCGTGCCAATTTCTAGCGTGCCCATGTATGCCACGATACAAAAAGAACGCCTCAGACAAAGTCGAGCACTCGAATGCCACAATTTTCAATTACAAAACTTGACATTAGCATCTTTTCAGGTATGTTCTGAAAATATCAGATATAATTATTCTTTCTAAGTAACTAAAAATTGAGATTAATAAAATCTGAAAAAAAATATTCAGTGTGTGTGTGTGTGTGTGTGTGTGTGTGTGTGTGTGTCATATTCAAATATGGACAGTTTATATAAACAATTAATAAAAAAGTTATAATATTTTTATTTTTAACTAGAATTCCTCTCTCTCTCTCTCTCTCTCTCTCTCTCTCTCTCTCTCTCTTTTTCTCTCAAAAATTATAAATATAGTCCCTAATGAAAATAAAAATCAGAGCGTAAATCACTGAAAAGGAGAGTAACAAAAGCTTCTATAGAAGGCGAAAATTGAAACAATGAAACATAAAAGAAATGCCTCTTTTTATATTTCGTTGTTTCAATTTTTGCTTAGTAAGTTTATTTGCTTCTGTTATTTTCCCCTTATGTTAAACTTATGTTCCAATCATTTTTATTTTCGTCAGAAATAATAATATAAATAATGATAATGGCTCAATAATAATAAACAAAAATGAATAAAAGAAGGTCTAAGAGAGTCTTGTCTTATCATTTTCATAGTTTTAGATTTTTTTCTATTACATCGGTCGCAATTTATCATTTTATGATTTTTATTAAATTTGATTTTTATTTAATTTATCGGCATGTATACACTGAGGATGACTTGACAAATAGGTCGAAACATATGTGTTTTTAAGAATTGAAATATACGAAAAATTTGGCTCTTAGCTCTTCTATTATTCATTTTTATAAATAATGATGTTATAAAAATATCCATTTTCATATTTCAAAATAGATATTTGTTAAATAACGATATTACAAGAATTATAAAAAAAATTGATGAATAATATAATCTTTATTAATTATATAGGAGCAGTATTTGGTTCATTTTTATGATAATAATATGAAGATTACAGGATTCTGTGGGGAAATATGGAATCTACTTTCCGAATCGCTGAATTTTACGTAAGAATGCATCATGTATCACATCGCAAGAACAAAACGTTGCATTGTGAGATTAAACTTTAACATAATTAATAATATAAAGTAACGAAAAAATATTTCATATTTTTAGACTACAGCTAGTGAAAGCAAACTTAGATGATCAGGGTATGCCACAAAAAGATGCCTTGTCTTTTAAAAACGGATTATTACCTATTATTTTTCGCAATGAAACTATTGCAATAGCAAAACTACAAAACTTTTCACCGGAACTCATGGCTACCGAATTTTCAATACCTTTTTGGACAAACAGGTTAGCTTAATTTATTCTAAGCTTCTAAGTGTTTATCTGATTTAACATTTATTCAAACTGTAATGTTGTGGTAGCTATTAATAACAATTAAGTTATATGATCGATAAGATAATTGTCATAATTTAAAAATAATTTTGTAGAATTCAATTATATATTCACCGCGAAACGATATATGATAATATATGGATGGTAAAAATTTTCTCTTGGAAAATATGGTGCGTTATATTGAGTATGTGTGTACTACTGAGTCTATGCACCTTTTTGACACAAAGTATTCTCATACAGAATGAAGATAAACGTAAAAATATATCTCTCAGCGAACACTTATTTTATAACTTTGGAAACCTGTGCAATCAAGGTGTGTGTGAAAATAAATGTGTGTAATTAACTGATGAAAATATTGCTCATTTTTGTTAGAAATGAGATAAATCTTTACATTGAGATAAATCTAAATATCGCGTTAAAATAAAATTGCAATTATTTGATATCATATTAAAACATTGGATCTTTAGAGTTAGAAGTAGCATAATTTGGAAATTAGTTCTTCAATACTTCATGATAATTTTTTAATTTTAAAATATGTAAAAAATAGAAATTACAATATTTAGATAATAAATATTAAAGACTATTGAAAAACATAACGTAAAACATAATGATATAAAAAATTATGTTGATAATGATGAAAAGTTATGATTAAGTCAAAAATCATTAATTTGGATAATTGCAACAGGTTATATTCCCCATTATCTTGATGGAAAATCGAGAATATTAGAAGTATCATTAGGATTATTTTGTTCTATAATATATATGTCATTTGGTGCTGTGTTATTTATACATCTATCTAAAAGTATTTTCGTGCCACCATTTGATAGTTTCTCTACCTTGGTAACTAATACTAAATACAACATTATTGGTCTGAAGGATACAATCGCAGAAGGTATATTTAAGGTATACTTACTGAAATCATAATTTACTATTCCTTAGATAAAAAATGTATAAAATTGTATAAAAATTAGAGAATGATGTTCAAGACACAATTCAAGAAGAAATTATAATTTTTGTAAAGAACATATAATTTATGTAGTGATTCTTTATACATTTATGATTTTTTGTGTATAAAACTTAAATGCTTGAAAAATGTTGATTGAATATTATAGATTAATAAGGATCCATTTTTACAAGCAAAACAAATGGAACGCTTGATATTAGCATCAACATTTGAGGATATGCATAAAAAAGCATGTTTTTCCAAAAAAGAGAAATACGTCATATTTCAAACCGAAGTAATGCATAAAGCGGTTGGAAATAGTATGTGTCATTTGATTAACGTTGGAGAACCTTATACGAAAACATGGATAACTTCCGGCATCGTGAAGAATTTTAAATACAAAAGAAGTATTGATCTTGGGTAAACAATATATGTGTGCAGAATAATATATTCTAGATATAAAAATATTGATTTTTTTGGAAATCGACAGCGTATTATATAAACGTATTATATAAAATCTTCAATCAATTTAATCTGTACTTTCTAAATTCTTTGAAGTGAGTCTCATACGATCTAAAAAGTAAAAATTGACCAGTTTTAAAAAAAGAGTGATTCAATCTTCAATCTTTAAGAAATAAGAATGAGATTTCACTGCTTAGAGTGAAAATCATTTTAAAAGTTTTAGAGAAGTTTTGTGTTTTATACAATATGTAATATTTCTACAAAATTTTTATTTTATTTATAATGTGAAATGTCTTTATAATTAAAATAAAAACTTTTTAAATAGAGAAAAATTTCTACACATTTTTAATGTTATTATCAAAAATGGATTCCAATTTTTAAAAATTCCAAAAATGTTGATAGTTCTAAATTAATTTTCCAAAAAAAAAAAAAGAAATATTTGTCAAAAAATATTAAAAAAGAATTGATTATATAACAAATGATGTTATTACGATTTCCAAAATTTTTACTAGAAAAGAACATTCGATACTTACATCTTTTTATAAATAGTTGATATTATATTTGCTCATCAACGATAGTTTTCTGTGTAGTAGTAAGTCTGATTTAAATTATGATAATTTCATATATTAATAAATAATTTTCATAAATAGGATACTTAAATTAATGGAAATTGGACTATTAAACGTGTTAAAAAAACGTTGGTTGGAAAATGGTTTTAAATATTACGCTGAAGATGAGACACCGAAACCAATTGAATTACATCAAGTTTCTTTAATAATTGCAGTAATGTGCTGTGGGGCGATTATAGCTCTCATTATTTTCATAATCGAAAAAATTATATTTACTTATAAATTAAAGCAATTATGAACATTTTTCCTTATACTCTATCATGAATATATTTTATGAGTTTAGTTGCAAATAATAATTTAATTAGTATTAGAAAATCGTTAAATTATTTTGTAATGATAATATAGTTGTAATTGTATAATAACGATACTCTTATTAATAATCAAACACAAAACTTTGGGAAAGCATGTTATACTTTTGTGACAATACTAATCCAAATTTTGTTGGAATATAAATGCACTTTAAATTATTATATGGATTGCAATATATTTTGTATCCTAACATCATACAATATAATCTAAACATTACTTAAACATTACTTAAAACAGTTACATATATATTGTGAATTCACGAAGGTTGTGCACTTGTCGCTTCCTTTGGCGTATCTTCTGTTAATGTAGCTTCTACAGGATGCGGTTCAGTTGGAACAGTATCATGTTCCTCTTTTGGTAAAACATATGTGCCTTCCACTGTGTTTGTTGGAGTCATCCAAGTTGGTATAATCTTACCGTGAATTCGCCATATACCGTACTCATTAGCTAAATGCTTTTCGAATACTATATATTCTAATACGTCTTTCCTCAGAATTTCGCTTCCTTGTATAAGATGGCCAAATCTATCATAAATTGCTAAAACCTATAAATGAAGAAATTTTTACTTAAAAATTGTTTATATTATAAAAAGGGAATAAATTATTAAGAATGTTATTGAACCTGTTGCGTGTGAAATCGAACAGTAAGTTGTGCAAATACGTTTTCTTTTGTTATTACGTCTGTAGTCCTTGCATGCACGAGGCGAGCTGGTTCCAAAGACTCTAAAAATTTCCAATGTATGGTTTTGTTCATTGTGTTGTGTGTTATTTTCTAAAAAAAGAAAAATATTGAAATATACGTTATTATATGTAGTAATAAATGTAATATATAATATTTTAAATTAGCAAAAGAGGACACGAAATATATTTTTAACTTACAGGATATGCCATTTCAGTAACATATTTTATTATTTCCTCTTCATTTTTGCTATAATTAAAAATTGTTTTATTTAGTAATATTGCTACAAATAGAAAGAAAAAAACGCTGTATTTATTAATTGCTAATAATTCTTTTAACGTATATACGTTTCATAATTATAAAAACATTATTATATTTGCAATTTTTTTCTTACCTAGCTAAAGCTTCATATGCCTTTTGATATATATCTAAAGCTTCTTCTAAAAAAAATGATGTCTTGAAAGAATCATCAAATGACTTAATTTTTCTGATGGCCATAAAAGATTTGCTTTTTTTTTCAAAAAATGTGAATTTTTGTTTTGCTCCCTATATTTCATAATAAAATAAATAATTGTAATACACTTTTATCTCTCTTTTAATTTTAAACTTAAAAAAATATCATTGTATATTTTATATTTAAAAGTTACGATATATAAAATAATAGTAAAGAGCATGTACTTCTTTGGTAATGACAGAGTATTTTCCATCTCCTTCTGGAGCAACATAAGATTCAAAAATTGATGAAGTACTACTAATAAATGCTGGTCTTTCTTTCCACGGTTTCTGCGGTAGAAAACCATGTTCTTTCATACGTGATCGTATTTGCTCCTTATCCATTTTAGTAATATCATCATTGTCATCGTCAAAATTAGGAAGTTTTATTTTAATGACTTTTTGTCTTCTTTCCTTCTTCCATTTTGGATTCCAGTGCTTAGCTATATGTGCTACTTGTATAGAATTATTAGGATAATTGGTAGCAGCAACTAATACTGGTAGATTGTTCTGAAATAAATATCCATTTCTTTAGATACATTTCTACATTTGGATAATTAGTTTTCTGACTATAATCAGATAGTATATGTCTCTTTTGTTGAATTTAAGATATTCCTATTTATTTCTAATTATAAGCTAAATTGAATTTAATTGAATTTTAATTTAAATAGAGTAAAACAATTTAAAAAAGATTGTTTTATAATTTATTTCATAATTTGAAAGATTGCCAATTAAAAAAAATTTAATTTGTAGAAATCAACAAATTTGTAATTAAATAAGAAGAATAAAATACATTATATATTTAGCTTTCAAAAAATAGAATTGTATCAAGAACATACCTGTAAAAATGTTCTGTAAATAAACACCGGGCTCACGTATCTTAATAACATTTTCAGAAATTTTACTGCTTGAGAACTGTCGGAAGAAGAAAAACAATCATTCAAATTATTGTATATCTACCAATATTTTCATTTAATTTTGTATTTATGTTATATTTCATATCACGTTTTACGTTAGGGTTATGTCAAGTCGTGGTTGTGAATGTTATGAATGATCTGGCCGTTATAGGTTATGTTCAAATTAGACTGCGCATAGTGAGATTATTAAGAATAGGAATCAATATTAAATTTCAACCTATCAAACATCATATTCTAATGTAACTTGTATTTGATTGGTTAAAATCTTAATATTTATTTATTTTTCTGGACGTTCTTCTCCGAGGAAGATTTTACTTTGTATGTATAGTGTACGTTACGTATACTATATATTTCGAGTAAAATTTTCCCCGGAAAATTTTGGAACATAGCTCTAATATTTGTTCTATTGTGCGCAGGCCCTTAAGCCTATTCTACAATATGCTTTTTATTTTCTGTTTTCGCTTTTTGCTATTTTTTTCTTTCTCTCTTTTTGCTTCTTAGTTCTTATCCGGTCTTTCGTTTTATGTCGCCTGAGATAAAAATTAATGAATTTGGAAGAAACAAGAAACACGTAGCAAGAAAATGCAATTATTAATAAAACGATTGCAAAGAAGTAAAAACAAGAAACAAGAAATGAAAAGCACATTAGAATAGGTTTTAGAGTCATTAGAAATGCATAAAGCCAGTTCTGTATTAGTTGGAAGTCAATCGCAAGTTTGTTGTGACAGCCAATATGAAGTGTTGATTTCAAAATGCAAGCTTCATATTGACTGTCACAACAAACTTGCGATCAGCTTACAACTAATGTAGAACCGGCTTATGCGTGGTCTACAATGGCAGTAGCAGTCGTGAATGAGGTTGTAAGAGTAACAAATTGATCAATCACAATTGAATGTGAAAAGAATAATCGACTGTTATTGGTCAATTTCTTACTCTTACAGCCTCATTCATTACTGATACTGCCATTGTAGATCACGCATTAAAGGGTTCTTTACGACAGGGGAATGCTCGACTGTAGTTGGTTTTTACATTCTGATCCGGTTTAAATTCTCGATGGAAACTAAGCCTATGATTGGTCAATTTTCTACGACTTAAGACCGTATGACTGCTAGCATGATACTTTAAGTTTGTTCGCGTCGCATGCTCCAACCGTAGTTCCTACTCAATCAAATGCACTCGTTAGAGTGAGTAGGAGTTATGGTAGGAACCTTTGACTATAAACACATGGACTGCTAGCACCTCATTTTTGCTATAGGAAATGCATACTCTCGGTGTTGCCGAACTGAAATTGGCTGAAGATTGTTAGGGGCTCCTCACAATAAAAGGAACAGAGAATAGAGAATAAGAATTTCAACCTATCAGAAATCATGTATTGTAGAATACACAGTTTCTGATAAGTTGAAATTCTTATTCTCTGTTCTCTGTTCCCTGTTCCTTTTATTGTGCGGAGCCCCTTAGGCTCCGTCCCGAACAGTAAAGATCGGCAAGTTCAAATGTGAAAGTTGCTATGCTTATATTATACACGTACCGTTATTGATCGTTCTTCTTCTTCTTTTTCTTCTATTTTCCCCTTATTTGGTTTTTCAATTCAAATGCAGAGTCACAATACCATGCAAATTAATGGATTCTATAATCCTTTGAATTTTCGATAATCCTTAAGTGGGGAGCAGAGACCTTTACTGACCGTTGCATAAAAACGTAAACGTACAGCTAAATCCCGGGCATGGCCATTCTACATTCGTATCGTAGACGTTGCAAGTCACAAGCTTGTTGCTTCAGCCAATCCGATGGTTCAATTTTAAAGTCGCCAGCCATGATGCTTACAACGCTTTCGACTCTACGATACGATCAATGTAGAATGGCCTTTAGACTTCACTCTGATTGAATGTTAGAGTATGCGATGCGAACAAACCTTTTATTGATATTTTTCAGTCTGCTATCAGATATCTTTTATCGATACCTTCGTTTCGATAATATCGACGTATCGATATATACAAGAGAGACCTCGTGGATCTCCAATTTCAATAGCGTATGTCTTTTAGTACAGTCCTTGTAGAGCTCAAATATACTATGATCGGTAATGATATTTTGATACTGTTCGGTATATCAATATTATCAATATTAGGTTTGAGTATTATGCAGAATTATAAAAAAAATAACATTGACTTATGTATATGAGGCTCTCCGAGGAGACTATTCGTTGGATCTTGGATCTTATTGTACTACTGCATAGTACTGTGACTATATTTGAGTCGGAAAACCAAAAAAGGGGAAATCAGAAGAAGTAGAAGAAGAAGACTTGTGTATATGTGAATTCTGAGTTGAATATATTCTTATTGTTTTTAGCGATATTATAAATGACGTGATTTTTAATAGAACAAGAAATTCGAATTATTTTAACGTGAGAATTGTTTATAAGATAAGAATTTTAAGGTGCCGCAAATGTTGTACAGGACTAGTTACAGCCTCTCAAGCAAATCCATAAATTGGGTAAAGATTCAATTAGGTATACAAAATATATAACATTACTTATTAGTGATAATATGTTAATGGATTAATTAATTTTTACATGAAACAAATTCGTATAAACATATGAAAAGTTTGAAGAATATTATATATGCAGCATTTAAAATGTCTGTATTGTAACTTATTCTTTTTCTTAAATTTTAACTGAGTTCTTTTCAAGCCTACTTTAGCTTGATATTACTTAATATCCATATAAATTTAAATACTATTTACTCGTGTAAATTTGTCTCAGAAAACATTTATCGCAGAACTAGTTCAGTCGCAATGCATCCTACGACTGACTCTGAAGTAAATTCTGGTGATGTAAATACTATGCATGGGACTAAGAGATCCATAGATGATGGCAATGAAAATGAAGCCAAGGTGCAAAAGACAGAAGAAGAAACAGTACAAGTGACAACAGTACAAGCAACAGAAACGGTACAAAGAATCAAGAGAAAAAATCATGCTATGTTACTAGGCTATGTTGGTAAAGATTATTACGGTATGCAAAGAAATCCTGGTATGAAAACTATTGAGGAAGATTTAATTATTGCCTTACTAAAGGCAGACTTGATAACTAAGGAACAATTTGAGAATACACGTGCAATTAATTTTCAAAGGGCTGCACGTACGGACAAAGGAGTATCAGCAATTAGGCAAATTGTTTCACTGAAACTACGTAAGATAGATATTTTAAATTTTAATTTTTTTTATACATATCTTTTTTAAGAATGATTGTTTACAAGTAATTTTGAATTATTATATTATTATTATAAATTTGAATTATATTAATTATATGTTTATATTAATTTTACAATGCTATTTTTATTTAAGTTATTATTTAATGGTTGCATTCAACAAAAAAGCAGCTTTGCAACTGTTGCAAGATTTTTTTAATGTGATTGATCTATTATATATATTCAGATATAGTGCAGAATTAACAGCAAGAATCATATTAATAATCATACTAAAGAATCATGATTTATTAAGCTTAAAAGTAACAAAGAAAATAAACTTTTTATTTGAATTATGTTATGAATATTAAATTATAAATATCTATAAATTACTATTAAATTATAAATATCTAATTTTCTTTACAGCGGAGAATAGTAATAAGACAGTAATAAATCAATTCTTACCTGATGCTATCAGAGTATTTGGTATAAAACGTGTGACAAAGGGTTTCAACAGCAAAAATCAATGTGATGCACGTACTTATAGATATGTCATTCCTTCCTATGCATTTGCATTAGAAGATCAAAGTTTGTTAAAACTTGGAGAGGAAGTTGATGAAGATGAAAGAATTAAACAGTTATCAATTATTGATGGAAAGCCATACACTGATTATAGATTATCTCCAGAATCTTTAGATAGATTAAATTCGATTTTGAAACTTTTCGAAGGTTCTCATAACTTTCATAACTTCACGTCAAAAGTGTAAGTCGACATCAATTCAAAAGAATATATATATACAAGTATTCATTTAGATACTTAAAACTGAAGCAAATTTTGTTTAATTCAGGAAACCCTTAGATCCACGCGCGCGACGCTATATAATTAGTTTCTGTTGTACGGAAACATTCGTTTTAAATGATATAGAATTAGCGGTATTGGAAATTAAAGGGCAAAGCTTCATGTTGCATCAAATCCGAAAAATGGTCGCAATTGTAATTGCGATTGCAAGGAACATGATATCCAAAGAGACAATTGATGAAGCATTCAAGACAATGGACAAGATGGACTTACCACTTGCACCTAGTTTAGGATTGTGTCTATGTCATGTAAGAAAATTTAATAGCACATTTTATTGATATGTGAAATTATTTTAGTATTTAATATTAATCTATTAATATAATCTATTGAGATTAATCACTTATCAAGTTTTCTAAAAACGAATTTTCTAAAGTTTATTCAAAAATTAAATGTATCAACAGGTACATTATGATAATTATAGTAAAAGATATGGTACAGACGGTCTCCATGAAACGTTAGATTGGAAGGAGTGTGAAGAAGAAGTAGAAAAGTTTCAGAAAACATATATTTTGCAACACATGATAGACACCGAAATTTCAGAACAAACGTATCCTTTTTGAACACTATATATATAATATATATAAATTTTTCTTCCTGTTTAAATATATACCTTAACCAATATTATATAGGACCTTAAAATGGCTGACAAGCCTCCCTTTTTATTCTTTTAGTAACAGAGAGATGCTACCTGTGGAGGATGATGAAAAACAAGAAGCCATGCATAATGATGTTTAGGTGTAAAATGCATAATTCCGCCTTTGTATCAAATGCACTAAGAAACATTAAAGAAAGTTTTTAAATTATATCTTTAAACTTTCCTATTTGTAAGATTAGTTATAAGTTTCCAGTCATAGTTTTAAAGTTCCCTCTTGTAAAACCGAAAGCAATAATGATGTCAGAATCCTAGTAAAAATTCCTTCAAACATCCTAGTAAAAATGTATTATTATCTCTATCTTGCAAAGTTCTTTGAATCGAGTTGAAAACACACGTCATCATGCCATCTGCCCCCCCCCCCTCTCGATTTGTTCATAGTTTAGATTAATTTGCAGCGTACAAATCGTAGAATGTACTTTCCCTGTTTATGTACTTCCCACCATACACGCCAAGATGACGCTTTGCTTGCGTTGGGTAATTCCAATCTCGTGCCACACAGTGTAGATGATCGCAGTGAATAACCGAGCGCCGAGATATAAAGAGGCATAGACTGCAATTACTGATATTTTGCACGGTGTATTTTACCATGCGGATTTTTCAATGGATATCTACACTACTAATAGTTGTTTATGGTAAGAAAGAAACATATGATGCCAACTTATTTTCGTGATATAAATAAGAATTATCACGATATTAATAAAAAGCATTCGTAATTGTAAAACTGCAACTTTATAAAAAATTTTTTCTACTATAACATTCCTTCTCGAAGATTTTTTATTTATTTATTTTTTACTAATTGGGTATATAGTGTAACAAAATTTTAAAGATACAATATATTCTATTATTCTTCTGAATCAATTACTGATGAAATAACATTGATAAATATTCATGAAAATATTTATAAATGCAACTGTTTTCATTGATGCTATTACCATGCTATTATCTTGTGTCCTGACATAACATTTGTTTTGATTTATTTTGAATCTATATATTTCTACACATTTCACAGTATCGAAATTATGTCAAATGACATTATATATAACATACATTTTAGAAAATGTCAAATAATTATATTTTGAAGTTTTAATTTTCTTAACTTACAAAATTTTATTTAGTTTGCATATTTTAATCTTGATTAAATGATCAATCAGTTAATAATTTATAAATAATAATTATAGATAGAAAATACTTTATTAGTAAAACTTGTTTTATCTATTTGCATTTGTTAGAAGAAATTTCATATTATATATTAATTGATATTAATTGATATTTCGTAGTAATTTGTAGATTCGCATATTCCAAGAGATTTCTGAAGTAATCTTAACCAGTTTCAGAAACCAGTTTAATGACCTTGAACCTCTGCGTAGAAGAATATCTTTCATACATGTTTACTTATATTGGTAGATAATAAGCGAAGATGATACACGAATACATATAAAGCATATCTCTCTCACATTTATTAAAGTTTATTATTTTCTTATATTGTAGCTAGCTAATATGATCAATTAATCTATAGTTGGTCTCTATCATAAAAAATATGAGCATTAAACAGAATTCTTTTAGGTATATTACTGAAAAAAATCTTAATTATATAATTAAAATAATTTAATAAATAATTTCAACTTACATGTACAATTATCCAACACATAAAATAATAGAAGATAGATTTTTTAGAACAAAATTATTTTTTGGATTTTCCAGTGTGTATTGGTTCTGGATATGCACAAACTTATGAATGTGGGTAAGTATTTACATATCAAAGTAATGTAATATTTAAGCAAATAAGTATCAATTAATATACTTGTCCGAACAGATCAGACAGATTTCGATGCTACAATGGAGACTGTATAGCTGGCGACTTATTGTGCGACGGCACACCACACTGTAGGGATTTGTCTGATGAGACAGAGACAGAATGTACAAAGCCAGAGATTCTGTGTCATAGGTATGCCTTTCGTTGCAACTACGGTGCCTGTGTAAATGGAGATTCCGTATGTAATGGTGTCCAAGATTGCATTGACAACAGTGACGAAACGCAGCCTCAGTGCGCAAAAAATATAACAAACAATCAAACAGGAAGACCTACAAGTAGACCTATAAGCAGACCTAATAGATGTACCACAAATCAAGTTGCATGCGATAACGGCGAATGTATTCATAAGGACAATATGTGTAATGGAATTCAAGATTGTGCGGATGGTTCTGACGAAACTTCTGAAAAATGCAGATCAATCTAGTGAGAATCTTTTATAAATGTTGAAAATGATTAAATGATCATGAGAAACAAAACTTTATGTTTCTCTTTATGTTTTATAACTGTTAATTTCTTTGCAGTTGTCCTCCGACAGCTTTCCGTTGTTCTTATGGAGCTTGTATCAATGGTGATCTACGATGTAACGGAGTAATTGAATGCGTCGATAGATCAGATGAAGATTCGAGATGCAGCGAAACTACAGGGTGGCCATCACCTTTACCAACGGTACGACCAACAACGGAAACAACACGATGGCCTGTACCGACTCCAACACCAACACGATGGCCCGTACCGACTCCAACACCAACAAACGCTTGTAGAGCACCTCCACAACCACAGAATGGTCGTTGGAAATTACATCGATCACAATGTTCAGGTGGACAAGAATGTAACGTTCCAGAAGGAACGGAACTGGGATTAGGATCTCATCTCATCTACTCTTGCAATTCGGGATATAAATTAAGAGGTCCAACTGACGTGAGCTGCAGTTTTGAGGGAAAATGGCTTAATATACCAGTTTGCACAGGTTTAAAACAAGAATTATACATTTTTGAAATATTTAATTATTCATGAAAAGATATATATGGATTTTTAAATACTGAATTATTAATTATTAATTAATTATTCAAAATGTTTGATAGAAATACGCTGCAAAGCTTTGACTACAGCATCAATCGAAGCTAGATGTACATACGATGATGAATGGATATCTTGTGAATCTCCAGTTCCACCAAGAACAAAAGCGGTATTAGAATGTCAAAATAGTTATCGACCTGAAACTAATCTATTAACTGGACAAAGAAAAAATGTGAGATGTAATGCAAATGGTCAATGGGAACCAGAACCTATGCGATGCATTCCAGGTCCGCTCATGATAAATATTTACATTAATAACACTAAATTTACGTTTCACACTACTTTCGATAGAAATGCTACGTTTATTGAAGTTTTGGATGATAGAATCATTATATATACGAATGCCAACAATCCAAATTATCCAAATATAAACATTAGAGTATCAAAATCAAATAATAATATAGTAACAGATGAGCCATGGGCATGGTCTTAAAACAATGAAAAAATGATAATATATTGTAAATATTACAATTTCGAATATTTTTATAGTTGGCACTGTAATTATACATATCTTATCCCCATTGAGAGATAATTCACATACCTGTGTATTAGGGTGGCTGTTAGTTTAACAATTTTTGAAAAAAATTTAATCGGAATACTCTAAATTGGTTCAATATCTCAAAAAAATAACACCAGATTTTTTTCAGACTTTTTGAACAATTTTAATCCGTGCCACCCTAGACGAATATCTTCGTGGACAAAATTCGGCCAATGCTCTACATCTTAACAATTTTAAAGTTTTTTTTTAATTTACTCGAAATTGAATGAACTAAAAACCCATTTTACCTAAATTTTGATTATAGTTCAAAGTAAAAATTGCCGATCTAATAAAGTAAAAACAAATGAATAAATGAATATTAGATCAGCAATTTTTAATTTGAACCGTAATCAAATTTTACGCAAAATGGGTTTATAGATCACTCAATTTTGAGCAAAAAAAAAAAACTTTAAAATTGGTTAAGAATTAGAGCATCAGCTGAATTTTTCTGCCCACTATGCGGTTTTGAAAGGAGGATGTTAAAAAGAATCCGATTTCTGTCCAAAAAGATATAAGTAAATGGAATAGTGTTTTTTATAGATTTTAACCTCCTGATAATGTTAATAAAAAGTTCGGGATCAATAGGGAAACCTTGAAAATTGAACATGAACATGACACATTTAAAGAAATTTCAATATTCTTGTTTACTTTTCAAAGTATTTCCCAAGTGTCACGAATTTTTTAATAATTTTATTATATTCTGGAGTTCAAAATCTACAAAAAATACTATTCTTTTACTTATATTTTTTAGTGCAAAAGTCGGCTCTTTTTTAATATCCTCCAAAAAAAGAGCAGATTTTTGCCCAAAAGATGTACGTAAAAGAAGTGTTTTTTGTAGATCTCCTGAAAAGCATGTAGGAAACATCTTGAAAAATAAACAAGAATATTACAATTTCTTTAAATATATCATGTTTATGCTTAATTTTCAAGGTGTCCCCTATCGATTCTGAACTTTTTATTAACATTATCACATTCAGATCAAAATCTATAAAAAAACGTTATTCCTTTTATTTACATATTTTTGGGCAAAAGTCGACTTCTTTTTAATGTCCTCTTTTAAAAAGCTATGATAGTTAAATTTTTTGTTAAAAAAATAAATTTGGTGTAAGTCCGTGTTAAATCGCGGTATTAAAAATATATACGTATAGATCGGTATTCATATAATCAGTTCTTATTTTAAAATCGTCTTAAACAATGTCTTAAGATGCTAATACTCTTTTGGTTCACGATATCTAAAAACTGTACTTAAGACGGTATTAAATATAAGATTTGACTATGAATGCTACCCATAGAGCAAGTGTGTGATATATTTTATCGCATATCTATTTATGCCCTGATGGCACGGGTTAAAATTGTTTAACAAATCTGATGTTATTTTTTTGAAATATTTAACCACTTTAGGGGATGTCTCATCATTTAATTTGAAATTAAATTTCAAAAATTGTTAAAATTACAACCACCCTATTATATATATATATTACAGTTTCTGTTTAAGTTATGATTTGAAATTGTTTCCTAATAAACCAAAGTTCGAAATGAAAGTATTAAATTCAATTTTTAATTATTATACAAATGCTGTGTACAAATGTATATACTAAGTGTACGCATTTACGTATAAATTTTACCGAATATATTTAATAAACTTTTATGTGACTTTTTGATATATTTCAATCTTTTTCCCATCCCATTAATCATAAAAATATCATGACGTGCAATAGAATTACAGTAATTGTGAATTATCTCCTTTTGTATAATCATGCGTGTTCAATACGCTTTCTTGTATTGTTACGTCGCGATGATTTCTCCAATCAAAATATTTGTTGTAGTATGCGGCACTCTTCCTCCCGACGTTACACCGACTGTTGTAGGCGGTGTACGGCCGAATATCACGGAATTTCCGTGGCACGCTACGATGTATCGCGATGTACCAGGCGAGTCAAAGAAATTCTTCTGTGGAGCGAGCATTATTCAACCGAATCTCTTGATAACGGCAGCGCATTGTGTATATGATGAGATCAATAGGCAACCGATTAATGCCAGATCAATTTATATATTAACGGGAAATATCTTTCGTGATTACGATTATCCTTTTCATAATCCAACCCTCGTTAAAAAGAATCAGGTTTGGAAGTGTACATAATACAAATAACAAATTAATCTAGAAAGTACATTGTCATAAGTGTTTACACATATCTTCTTGCAGGTGAAACATGTTTACATCGTACGTAATTATCTAGGACTTATAGGAAATTATCTCTGGGATATCGCAGTATTAGAACTCGATAGACCATTTGTATTGTCAACTTGGTTGGTTCCCGTATGTATAGATACTTTAAGCGATAGAAGTGTATTAGAAGCAGGCTCTTATGGAAAGGTAGCAGGATTTGGTAGAACCGCACTCGGTGAATCTAGCGCAATTTTACAGGCTTTAACAGTACCTGTAATTCCACTCAGCCAATGCAGATCCGCTAGTCAAAATGCTAATACAGAACAATTTATTACCAATGATAAATTTTGCGCAGGTTACACAAATGGTTAGTGAAAGATCTATTAAATATAATTAGCATGACGCTATATTTTTATACTAAATTTATAAGAAAGATATTTGTAAAAAATGTAAACTTATTTTAATTTATAGAAGTTATAAAAAAAAATAATAAGAGGAAAGAACAAATTTAAGAATTGTTTTTAAATTTAAAATCGTTCTATACAAAGATGCGAAAAGTAAAAAGATAACTTACCGAAGTATTGTGTGTTTCAGGTTCTTCTGTTTGCGATGGTGATAGTGGTGGCGGATTAGTCTTTAAAACTAATAGTTTGTGGTATCTTCGAGGTATTGTTAGTGTTTCCCTCGGCACGATACAAAAGGATGGAACTGCTTATTGTGACAATAACTTGTATTCCTTATATACAGAAATATCCAGGCATATTTCATGGATACAAGATGTAATTACAAAAATAGAACAAAATCAGATACATATATTATGTTCAAATGAATCTCAAACGAGATGTTCCTAAATTTATTAATGATACCATCAGTTATTATGTGCAATTATTGAAAAAAGCATTTGTCTTGTGCCATGTAAGTCTAAACTATTGATAAATCTATATTGTTTGTCTAAATGCATAATCATGTGAAGAGAGTTGCACCTCTGTTGAATGGAATAATTAAAAACTTAAGAAATAAGTTTTTGTATGTATATGATAAATGAGATTAATTTTACAACTATAACTACGCTTACTAATATTTTATGTTTTTAAAAAATTCTCACTATTTTACAACATAAATACAGATATGATATAAAAAATGGATAGACAGAAATAGAATTTTAATTGTCATATTATCTATTTTAGCTTCATATATATTAAGTTATACAAAACATATTTAATAAAAAAATCTAAACATTTTTTATATAATGTACAATAAATATATTTTCTATTAGATGATCTACAATAAAACATTTTTTAAAAAATGTGAGACAAATGATTCTATAAAGATATTAATATCAAGTTATTAATACCAATAGATTGACTATTGCAACTTACAAACACTCAGATTTCTTCAAAACCTTTTCTTTGTTGGATGGTACAGCTGGCAGAGCAGTTACATCTTTGCTTGGTGAAACTAAACCTGTGTATTATACATTCCATTATTATTTTATATAATATAAAATATATTAGGTATACAAATAAGTTTCCGCCGTTTGACAAAAGACGGCGCCACTATAGCAAGCTATGGTTAAAATTGACTGATGTAAAACATTATATCATAAGGTTGGACATCTGTCAACAACATAACCTTGAAATACTAGCGATTTTGTATCAGCATCATATATTTTTTTTGTGCGAAAATGCCGAGTTTTGAGCCGAATAAGCGTCATTTGCGGGAACTTTTGATTTACTTCTTTAGTTTGAAGAAATCTGCAGCTGAGGCTCATCGATTGCTTGTAAAAACATATGGTGAGGCTGCCTTAAGTGAGAGTTGTCGTGAATGGTTTCAAAAATTTAAGAACGGTGAATTTGACGTCGAAGACAAAGAATGTAGCGAAAGGCCGAAAGTGTACGAAGACGCGGAATTGAAAGCATTATTGAATGAAGATTCGTGCCAAACGCAAAAAGAACTTGCACTTACATCAATAAAATTTTGACTTACATCAATAAAACATTATGTATCATTCTTTCACAATAAATGCTTAATTTTTTATTAAAAACGGCGGAAACTTATTTGTACACCTAATAATAAATTCCATAATATTTACCTTCCATGCATAAATCTTGTAAACGTTGCTTCAATTTTTCAATCTCTGGATTTGAATCGGGAACTGCAGCAAAAACATCTACATTATCCTCCTCTAATAATTCTGCCAATTCCCTTTCCAATTCGGTATCAGAGTCTGCATTATTTAGTGTCTCAGATAAAACTAAATCTATCTCTTTGTTATCCTCTAAAACCTAGTCATCGAGTAATGGATATTAGTATTCGGTAGTAGTTCGTATTAAATAATCACAAGCAGTACATATATAACACATACAACCACTTACCTCATTAATATCATCCATAACATCTCTGACACCAAATTCTGTTAAACCATTTTGTCCGATCTTCTTCAGTACATCGGACCCAGTTTTATAAGCAGACAATACAGCAGAGTTAGAATGCGCATCCTTGATATTGTTGATGAGAACACGCAGATTTGCAAGAGCTTGCGCACGTTTTTCTATGGTCTTTTCTAATTCCAATTTTCTTCTTAATTGTGCCTTTGCCATCTGACGCAACTCTTTTCCCAAATATAACTTTGCTTCATTAATAATATTGAGCTTTTCTTGTTCCAAAAGTTCTATTTCTTTGATTAGTTCATTTTCCTGTTTTGTCAGTTTATACATGCCTTCTTCTACTTCTGTAATTTCATTTACCGTTTGCACACAGATTTTAACTAGTAGTTCACTATTTGAATTGGAGCGCTTCTTAAAAACCACTTTTTTCCTTTGCTTTAACCATTCTAATGTTAATTTCACTGCATTCTCTGAAATCTGTTTTTTTGTATTGCTCTTGCAATATTCTACTATCTCCGATATTGGGAACAACATATTATCTTTTCTAATTTCAGTGATGGAGAGGATAATATCACTTAATTCTTGCACAATCCGCAAATGTATATATTTGACTTCTATACTATTAGTCTTCTGGCCTACAACATAATTCTTTACCTTGGAAAATGACCAGTTAATTGGCTTTTTTACAAATATGTCGATTGACCATGCCGTCCATGTTTCACATGGTTCTTTAAAAAAGTCACTCTCTTGAATTATTTCATTATTTCTAAAACAAATTTATAGAATACATATTAACAAAACAGAAAGGAATATATAACATTAAAGCATTAAATTTTGAATTATATTCTATTTTTTATTATAATTGCCGTTAGTATAAGCCACTGATGATTTAATAAAAATATTTGAAAAAATGTATATACTTATATGCTCATATATTTAATATATAATATTTATATTAAATATATTTAATCTATACTTTTAATAGTTGCAATAATACCTTAGAAGCTCCTCAATTACAGTAACTAGACATAGCGGTGTGCAGCCTTTTCTTTTGAAAACTTCATTCAAATCAACGATAGAAAAACTGCATTGCATGGTATGTTTCAGCCATTCGTATATTAAATTGTTCCAGAACTTGTATTTAGAAACCCAATCTTGCGGGTTTGCGGATTTACTGCGAAATGGTGAGAACAGCGCGCTCATCCTTTCTTCTTGATTCCAGCATTCTGGCAATTTTTCTGTTGGTAGTGGCGAATTGCCACTGGTATTTCCACCGATCATTTTACTGTCAATACCAATGTCGTTCATGAGATTAATAGATTAATTGAATAAAATTTTGTAAATCACTTCAAGACGCACAAATTAATTTTAGGTTATAAAATTAAAATCTTGCTTAATCGTAGCAATTGCGTTTTATTTTCGTACACATATATCTTTCTATCGATTTGTTTCTGTCATCTTTATCAAGTTCATTCTGACTGAGAAGTACTTATACTATAAATAGAAAATTATTATAAGTATTATAAATAAAAGAAACACAGATCCTCTGGAAACATGAAATAACGTGAGTGACGCGATACAATATAAACAATGATTGCGGAACGGATCCGTGAACGCTCACTGCTATTGGATGATCCATGATATAAGAATATTAGATGTTCCGTTCCCGTGATTGCGCAGTAGCAGCGTGAATTTAGGCAAAAATTGGATTGGCTATTCCAATATGCTAGCACTATTACACGCAGGAAAATCAATTTAGGCAAAAATTTGATTGGTTGTTTTCATTATTGTTATCGCCATTATGTGTAACGGAACACCTGGTATCCTTACATCATGGGATGATCTAGAAGAATATACCAGCGGAAGAATAGTAGCGGACGCTCACGGATCCACTTCGATAGTTGAGTTTGTTGAACAGTGAACGCAAGCTTATGACTTCGATTAAACGTTTACTGAATACTTCAATGCACAAATCCAAAGACTCTTATTAAAATATTATTTTCTTATTCACAATCTTTATTTTCTCATCTTCACACTCTTCCAATGTTCATTCATTTGAAGCTGTTGTCATCATAGTTGTCATCAGTTACTTCGAGACCTTTGAGATAATTCAATATATTGGGCCATCTAAAAAGTATCCGCGGTTTTTTGTCACTAGGTGTGTTAACCATCAACATCATCTGACCCAATATATTGTATTATTTATACCTCTTCTTACAGGAAATCGGATTTGTGAAATAACATGAATTGCGTGAATCAAGGTGGAATTATTGACTTGATAATGAATAATTCAGAACAGAAATATGGACTCTATTATATACATTGTAGATTAATTTACATGGTATCAGGATAAAAGATTGCGTAAGATATTGTATAAATGCTAGTTAAATCTAGTTTTAAAACAGTCAGTTATTGTAAAAAAACTGGATTTAACTAGAATAATCCACATAGGCTGTGGTCAAAGTCTCGCTACAAATGCTTTGAAGCGTTTGATGAACCAATTAGAAGAAAAACAAATTTTACAAACTGACCAATTAAAAAACGCTTCAAAGCGTTTACAACATCGCGTTGGCCATATCCATAGATAAGTCACTCTAAAGTATTGTTCGTTTTGTTTCTCGGGAGCTGCTCGGTCGCTCGGAATGAATCCATCGTGCTTGAAATGTAGGATTCACACTATATACGACATCTGTCATCGACGTCTGACATTCATCGTAACAATGATGTACAGAAAACGAGCAATACTTAGATTTATTGCTTGGTATACTCTAACATGTTCTTACCATAGCTCCTACTCACTTTAACGAGTATTTGAGTGAATAGAAGTTACGGTTGGAGGAAGTAGGACTGTAGAAATAATTGGAGCATGTGATGCGAACAAATCTTCTATTATCGGTTATGAGTAAAAACGCATCTTATGCATCTCATTTGTCACTGCTTACACAAGATGGCATTGTGAAGACTTACGTTGTTTACGTTATGAAAGCATCCGCTGAAGGATTTAATTTGAATTGAATTCTAGTTGATACGAAATGGGCGTTAAAGATTTATGGAATGTTTTGTCGCCTTTATGTGAGAAGAAACCACTGTACGAGCTACAGGGGAAGACCATCGCGATCGATTTAAGCGGATGGATCGTGGACAGCCAAACGATTGTTGATAATATGGTACAACCGAGGATGTATCTCAGGTAACCTGCTTTCATTCAACTTATTTTTATTCGTTGAAATATAAAATGATATCAGATTAATTAAATAACATCAGAAAATATTAAATATATAATGGATCAATACAATGGATAATTATTAACATACAATACACATTTTTAAAATGTACGTATAATAAATTTGTATTTAACAATAAAATATATATTATTTTGTCAATAAATTATCATTTATATGATTTGAATTACTTATTGCAGAAATTTGTATTTCCTTGTACATGGGATATTTCCGGTATTTGTATTGGAAGGAAAGCCACCTATCCTAAAACATAAAACTATTGCACGAAGGAATGATGTTCGTAGTAGATTTCAAGAGAGAAAAACTGCTAAGAAAGGAGGAAGAACACAGTTTAATCGAGTTCTAAACGAGTGTAAAGAATTGTTAAGATACATGGGTGTTGCTTGTGTAC